TGGCACTTGGTAACCATGTTTAGATCTAGATTAACCACACTTATCTTCTACAGATAAAAGCTTTTCTTTTCTGTCTTGGTAGCATATTTTGGCATATCCAGTTAAACTTGGTCACTTGTTCTTTTGAATTTTTAACTCAATGTAAAGTGAAGTTTGCTATTTGTCTGTAACCCTTTTATGATGTCTCAGTTTTATCACTATTGTTTTTCTTGTTGCAATTTAGTCTCTAAGGTCACTTAACTCATTAAAAAGGTCCCTCTGTCAAGTACCACTACTAGCAGTAGACAGCAAATCCCACATGGTGCCTAAACAGCTCAGGATACCATGGCAAGCACCTATCAATTGCCTTTCAATAGTGATTGTTCTTCATGAAAAAGAGTTTCCTTGGTAAGATCACTACCCTCTTCCCTATATGGCATACCAAAAGCATAGTTACTTTTTTTGTGTCCTTTTTAAGCGTGCTGGGGATTGAGGGGAAGCTGGACGGTAGTTTTTCCACTGTTTTACGGCCTATGTGGTGCTACTTAGTTCCAACAATAGATATGATGAAGTGTTAGCACTTAGCAGTGAGATTTGACAAATCAATAGTTTGAAACAAGTTAGCATTAGGGATTGAGTTGCAGCAAATGAAACAGAGTACACCATAGCTTAGGGATGAACGGTTAAAATTTTCTATAAAAATTGTTCCATTTACTTGTATGATAACTTTGGAAATTGAAAATGATTCTGCCTTGTAATTTATTTGTAATAGGTTTTTGAGAGTTAAAAAGACTTTATTTGTTTATTATTTACTTCTTTACTAACTTGTGCCTGATTTTCAATTAGTGTGACTTTAAAGGTGCATGGTAGAAAAGAAGAGAGAGGAAAGGGTATTTCATTGAAGATGCAAGGAGAGAAGGGGAGGGAGGGTACAACTTTGATTGTGCAAGGGAGGGGGGGGGGGGGGGGGGAGTGTATGGCTTTGATGGAAATGGAGGGGAGGGGAGGGGAGATATTCCATCCAATCAAATTAAAATGTTGGGCCTGACATCTTAATTTGATTAGGAGATAATAATGTTGGGTCCAACTTCTTAATTTAATTGGATGAATTATCTCCCATCCCTTCCCCTCCACTCAAACCAAGCAGGCCTTGAAGGTCCAGGGGAAGATGGAGGAGAGAGGGGAGAGTATGATTTTCAAGGTGCTTCACAATTTTGGGAAAACCCCTTAAACTATCCCCTAAACTTACAATGATTTCATAATTAAGTGATTCATCATCCAAGTTAGTTTTCAATTATCCCTCTTACTTTTTGAAATGGATAAATAAAACCAAATTGGATTTAGAAAGATGTGATTTGCATGCCCATTAACCCTCCACCAATGTCGGCTTAAGTTCAATTAATAGATGCCATGTAATTAGTCCTTGATAGGCAGTTAACATGAGCATGAGTTGTGACCTTCTTTTTCTGATTTGGCCTTATTTGTACCTGTTAAAAAAAAAAAACAAGGCTAAATCAGTAATGAACTAACTTGGAGCGCTTAATTATGATAGTTTAGGTCGATATTCCCACCTGGCCTGTAACCCTTTCATTTTAGTGGAATATGATTTTTCCTTGTCAAGATGTAGTTGTACCTCCTCCTGAGATTGAGAAGATAATATAATAGATAATTCCTGGGGCTGTGCTGCAGAAAGTTTTCAGTTTTTCAGTTCATGGAAGTTTCTATCAATTGTCAATTTAATTTTTTTTTTCTATCTTTATCTCTGATGGGCTTTTACTAATTTTTGTATAAGCATGTTGTACATTTGGGTGTCTGGTGTTTATGTGACGATGATGATGATGATCAGTTGGATATCTTCTAAACAGGACCATGCAAAATAGTCCTATATTTAATATTTATATGAAATCATGTATTCTTCGTAAAGCATTATCTAAATTATGTATTTTTGTACTTTGCCTTTCAAGGATGAGAAGGACAAGCAGATTCAAGAGTTAACTGCTGAGCTGCGGAATAAGAAGCGACTATGTGCAGCATATAAAGAACAGCTAACTGCATTTATGAAAATTGTTGAAGAGCATGGTCATCAGTTATCCAATAAAGTGCAAAATGTAGTCAACAACCTGAAGGAATATGAGTCCATAGAGATGGAGCTTTTGCAGCATAGATAGCGTAAGTAATTGGAGAGTGTAACATAGCACCAACTGGTCAAATTGGTAAACTTTTGTTTTGGTTTTTACCCACTTTCACTTAAGTCTCTATCATTAAAGTTCCATTTGGGCATCCCCTTCTTGAACGGCTGATCAAAATGTGCCATATGGTTTTTACGTTGGTAATCATTGAATTTAGCAATGTAGGTTTAGCCCAACCGTGCCACAATTGGGGTTTGTGATGCACAAACGCAGGGATAAGTGGAGCTCTTAATTCAAAAAGATAGTGAGGGTTGGCTTGGCATTCAAAAGGTCTATGAAAGGCTTTGCATAAAGGGAGCCAGCTTGGAGCCAGCTTGATTTGAGTGCAGATGGTTACTGATTTTGTTTGAACGGTCTTTCTATGTTTCCCATAAAATGCTGGTAAGCCCAAAAAGGATGTGTTTGTCATCTGTGCTCCCGCTGCTGTGGATCCATCAATATATTTTATGATATTTTTCTTTGAAATGCGATGTTTCGATTACGTCCTATGTATGTTCATTTTCCATAAATAAGAAAATATTGTAAAGAGATTACTGCAAGAATGAGAATTTGATATTCCGAATTTGTTTGCAATACCACATTTGACGGTGTGGAGATGGTTAAGAGAAATACTATAATTGTAATGTCAGGTGCAGGGGCAGAGGCAGAAATTTTTTTCAGGGGGGCAAAATACTAAAATTTTCAAAGTTCAGGGAAGGTTAGATAATTTTTCATATACTAATTTGCAATATTTTCAAATTTCAGGAGGGGCGAGCGCCCTTTCTCGCACCTCCTTGGTTCTGCCACTGGTCAGGTGGTATTATAAATTTATAATATGATGTATTATTATATAATTAATTTTTGTTATTTAAAAGTTTATTTATAATATTATATGTATTTATTTAATTAATGTTCTGTTATATTTTCTTTAATGTTATGTATGATTGTAAATTTATAATTTTATATGATATTATAATTATAGTATTATCGTATTGTTAATAATGTATCAGGTACCATTTTTTTAAGTAGAATTTGGATGGTCCTGCATGGGGAATGTTGGGTGAGTCCACAGGTGGCAGCCTTTGCAGGATACCTCTAGTGCAATGGTGCTTTGGTTTCAACATAATTCTGGGAGCGAGCTACACTGTTATGGAAGAGCTGTAAGCAATTAAGCTATTTGGAAACGGATACATCATTGGCTTCTGAGAAAATCAGGCATTAAGATGAACAATAGAATGAACTTACTCCTGGTTCAGACCAACAAACAACTCCTAGATAAGAGATGGAGTGAGCTTTGCCAAATTTGTTTGGTATACCTCCTTCCCCTCCAAGGCTGAAGGAGATTCTTATGGTAGCCAGGGTAATGAATTTTTGTACTGTTCCCTGAATCTTGTAATATCTTGGGTAACATAACCGATGTCCTTGGGCAATGCAAGGGAGGGGAATGCCTGGCTGCTCCCTTGCTTTCCTCTTTCTCCCGTCTCTAGTTGCCTTTCTTTCCCTTGTTTTGTTGTGTTCCTTCTTTACTTCTCTCCTTTGCTGCCGATTGCTTTCCTCCCCCATCGTACCTACTGCTTTTTCTTTTTTTTTTTTCTATGTTTTATTCCCTGTTTTCTCGCAAGAGATTCAGTTAGTTCTAAGGTTGTGTAAAGATCCTTTTATGTGATGACCTAATTGGGATACCGTTTATGTGTTTCTTTAACAAACAAACCAGAATAGTGCGTTTTCTCTCCGAACATAAGAGAGAAATTTAATTATAAACAACCCTTACGCAACTCCTCCAAGGCGCCAACTGGTTCTTAATTCGATCTTAGATTTTATTCCTGTAGCATTGCCCCCTAAACTTTTTGTGAAAAATTAAAATTAGTTTAGCTCATTAAATTTTGTTTTTATTATTTTCACATAAATGTTTTTAGCAGTTCAGTTGTGAAAGTATTTAAATATTCATATTGATCTAGATTTGTTAGAGGTATTTTGGCACGTTAATAACTTAAATAATTTAATTGTAATTTTTTTAATAAAAATAAAATATTTTAAATTTAAATTGTATAATATATAAAAATAAATAAATTAAAAAATAAAAAATAATTATTTTCTTGTATGCAACCCATGTTACAAAAAAAGAAAAAAGAAAGTATTTTGATGCTTTTCATAACCACATTGTACTCTTTTGTGTAGTTTGGATTGAAAGAAAAAATTGTCCTTTTACTTCTCTTATTTTTCAGTCATATATTTTAAAATTTTAGGGCCTTATTTTAAAAATTCAATTATTACATTAATTGGTAAAATTTTAAATGAGTGGTTGTCGTAGGGTTTTGAAAGGCTACCACCCCTTTTTCTCTTCTCCGCCACCTCCCTCTCTCTTTTGCTTCTCATTGACCTGTTCCTTTTTTTCCCTATTAAATTCTCTTTAATCCCATATCATTTCTCTAATCCCTCGCATTAGGGCCTTTTTTTCTTGTTTTGCGAGTGTGCTGTTAGGATCTCTTGAAAAGCTCAAGACCTTTGCTTTTCACACATCCTGGGGTTTGGTTCTTAGTTGCTTCTCTTTATCCTTTTCTATTGCCTATTGATTTCGAGGAGGTGATAGCAGGAACGGATTGGAGCAAAGGGCTATCTTAAGGAATGGGGGTCGAGGACGTGGTTGACACTATGAGGAGTCAATTGAGGCCATCCATGGCTTAAGGGCAGGCACTAGTGCTGGGTGAGGCGATAGTGGAGGCTAGTAAGAGTCGGCACTCGCGATTTTGGGATGTGATTGGTAAGTGTAAAGGCCTTGTAAGTGAGGTGGATATGGCTATGGAGACTTTTGACAAGAGAAGCAAAATGGTTAAAATGGTGATGAGTTTTCAAAACGGTTTCCATAAGGAGTTTATCCCCTCTAGTTTGCTTTTTTTAGTTTTCTCTTATGTACTCAACAGTAACTTAAGATTTTTTGAGATTCATTTAGGTCATCGATCTTATTGTTTAGACAACATAGTAATAATAGCCTTGGGTTGGCTAGAATGGGACTTGGAGGCGGTAATAATTAATGTGTCGCCGTACCCCTTGCCTTCCACTTCTTATGAATGGAATTATTTTTTTTTCTAAAAAAAAAAAAAAAAAAGGGGGCGGTTGTGAATTGGTGTAACATTTACACAACTATAAGTTGATTCTAACTCTTTATTTTATATCATTCTAATCATTTTTTAGTTTTGTAATTTTTGAAGATTATTTTTACTGATGATAAGAGAGATAAGGACAATAAAAACAATATGAAAAAATAAAGATTAATTAAATGATATTGTGAAGAAAGATACAAGTAAAAAAGTATCAATTAGAGAGACGTTAAGAAAATGTAAGAGAAGTGATATTTCTTTATTCCTCTCCATTTTACCTACACTATACAAGACTTACAAGTCTATATATAGGTTAGGTGACTGTTAGAAGTTGCAATGATTAAACACCCACTAAGTAAAGGGTTATAAGGATTAATCACCCACAAAGTGATGGATTACAAAATAAAACTTAATCAGCTTTGTAATTACATGGAACAAGTAGGACTTAACCATCATTACATTGTTTGTAAATGCATGGGAAAGCATTAAAGGTTACAAGGATTAATCACCCTCTAAGTGATGGATTACAAGATATTATCACCATTGTAATTACATGGAACAAGTAAGATTTAATCACCATTATATGAGAGAAAGTGGGGAGGCAGAAGATGATGAAGGTGATATATTCATTGCTAACACCAAGGATTACACAACATCTTGCCATGAGGTTTTGTCCTTAAAAGGGGCCTCATGGGGGGATGGGGTTGATCCTTACTTTTAAGCCACAATTATCTTTGATTTACCTTTGATGTGGGATTCTAACCTCACTCCACCATTATATCATTTGCCTCTTGAAGGATGTTGTGGGGTAATGATATGTCAAAGTATGTCAATAGATTCTCATAAATGATATCACTGTTAACGTTAAGAATTGTGCTTCGTCTTGCCATGAGGTATTGTTTGCTTACCCCATAGGCCTCGCAATTTTGTCTTAAAAAAAGACCTCATAAGGGAAGGGATTGCTTAACCATGTGTTTATGGGTTGAGGCGGATGGTAGGTGCTAAATGTTAACAAAACCCAAAGAGAAAAATTATAACCAAGAAAAAAAAATGTAGTGCGTATAATTTCCTCATCACTTTAGTGAATATTTTTTATTAAATGATACTTGAATTCTTAAATATAAGAAAGACCACCAAATTACTAACTGTAACTTTACACACACTAGCAGAAAATTCATAAGTAAGAAACTTAATAGTTTCATATATTTTTGAGGGGGTTGATTTGTCATTTTGAAATAATAAAAGGTGATTGCCTATAAGAATGCAAAGTATAAGAAGTGATTTGACTTTTACTCGATTCAAAGTAGTTTTGGCTTGGCTTCTTAGCATACATCGTTTGCCAAGTAGAATAAAGAAAGCTTTGATCCTCAAAGTTCAAATTTATGATCTACCTTACTAAGAGGAATCGACCAACAAAGTAGGGTTCATTTATTGAATGCTTATTTGTGCATTTCTCAACTACAAAAGCAATGTTGATCTAAAAGTTGAAGCACATATGTATCATAGTTTTTTTTGTGAAATTTTAATATAGTGAATGTGGTAATGGACGCAAGACTCTATTAAAGCCACATAAATTTTGTTCAATTTGACTAGTATTTGTAATTTTTTTAACAAGTTAGTTATGATATCCTAAAATATTTTATTAAATAATAAATATCAGTTCTTCTATTATTTATTAATTATTGTTAGTGTTAGAAATTTCCTAAATATGGATTGTCATTGATCATGTAATTTTAAAGTAGTTTTAAAAAATTGTATTGCAATGTATGGTATAGAGAAATTAGAGTGGTAAACCCATAATTATATAATCCATAAAGGTAATGAGTATGGTTCATCTTCATGACATATATTAAGGGATATGATGTTAATATGATAGATGCAAGGCTTGTTTATTATTGGGCACCTTGATGGGAGGGCCCATGTTAAGTTAATTCTACTTTGGGCTTGCTCCCCTCTCACATTTGAAACCCTAATAGACTTAGAAATATCAAGGGTTGTAATATGCCCCTTTAAAGATTATAGCATATTTCCAATAGTGAGAGGAAGACCTGTGCACTGCTTACTTTCTACTCATCTTTTGTTTTTCTTGTTGTCTAGCTTTGGCTTGGTTGGTCTCTCACATTTAGAATGGCAATAGAGAATCAAGGTATGCTTTCATGCTTATACAAATTCAATAGTGTTCAGCATTATAATATTAGTACATAGATTCTATTTAATAATTTTAATACTTGATAATTAAATTAAACAGCATTATGGAGCCTTAACCAATTATTTTGCAGCCATAACCACACCCTATTAGTAAAATCCCACAAGTTTTTTTTTTTTCACATGAACACGCTTATAAAAGATAAAGTAAATTATATGGTGGAGATGATGGAAACAAATTGAAAAGGAAGTGTCTTTTGTTCCCTTTTAATGGTCTTAGTGGACTTTTATTTTTTATTTTTTATTTATGTTTTTGCTTCATTTGTATGGTAACTTTGTATGCTGACAATATGAATATGCAGTTTGTTAGATGCACCTAGCGTTGAATCTTGTTATAGCATGTGCGAGTTTTGTTTCTTACTTTCATTGCACCCAAGAATAAAGATTATGGAAGGAGTAAAAATAGTTCTCTCAAGTTAGTGAGATGGTGGATTGAAAAGCAAATGTTGTGTAACATCCCACATACCTCAGTGAATAATTTAAAAATTATAGTTCTTTAGTTTATAGTTTTAGGGATTAAATTGATTGAATTTAAAGTTTGGGGGTTTTAAGTAGAACTTAGTAAGAGTTGAATGGCGTTAACTCAAGTATTCCAATTTTTCTTACCACAGCATTATACCAACCAAGCTTTTTTTCCTTGTCGGTTGGACTTGGATAAGCCTCTAGAAGGCTCCCAAAAGCCCCAATTTTTTACCTACATCTTTCTTCTTTCTTTCTCCAGCTAAGGTTAAGGTACTTTTTTTAGATAAGTATACATTTTGGTTATGAATTTGGGGTTAGAGTTTTGGGTAGTTTAAATTGGTGAGATTTGACCCAAATCCTTTAGTTTAGTAGATCTTTGGGCATTAAAAATTTATTAGAAATATGTCAAATTTTGGGATTGTATGAGAAGAACAGTGAATTATTCCTTGTTTTGTTTTTTTTTTTATATATGTTTGATTTAGTGTGAATTTTATGGATTAAAGGACCTTGCTAGAACGGTTTCTCGAATTACTGTTTACGAATTACTGTTTAAGAGGTTACTGTTCATTGATTACTGTTACGCACTAATTACTATTCATGCAGTGCACTTTAATTTCTTTCAATATGAAGTTCTATGTAATATGTGAGTTATGTATGTGGATATTAGTATGAACTTAAATTGTTCACGCCACTGATTAATGAGAGCATTAAATGGAATAATATTCTAATATTATTTTGGACACATTCTAAACTTGTTTGACATGTGTATGTGTTTGTGGCTATGGAGTAAGTGGACCTAAACTTAAAGGTTGGGGTATTCAGTGGAGCCTTCGGAGTATTTAGTGGACCTCTGTGCAATAGGGTTAATACTGTGATTAGCTCTGATATAGTGTTGCTAGTACACATCAGTAGACTCCATAGCATTGTGTGATTTTCGATTTTATGCATTTCGCTTGTGACATCGTATTTGTGAGTATATAATTTTAGTATATGAATTTAATTTAAATATCATTGATTATTCCTTGACATGTGTGATTATGATTTGAGATATTAAGTTATTATTTAAATAGTGAGAATTACAATGTTATGTGGTTTGGTTCCGTTGTATCTCATACTCTTTGTGTGTAGAGGTCTATGGGTCTTAGGACCCAAGTTTATAGTTTAAACTTATTACTTACTAGGCTTTTAGCTCGTAAAATCCCCCCCCCCCATTTCAAATCAGTAGATCGAGGTAGCAGCCTCCCAGTTTAAGAGCTTTTGGAACGGGACTCGTATGCTCGTTGTATGTACAAGCTAGGGCCTCGTGTTTTTTATAGGAAGGTAGATCAATGTGTTACCAAAACAATGACTCATCTTTTGTTCTTTTGGAAAGCTTTGGAGAAGAATTTGCTTCATATAATTTTTGTGTAAATTACCTTTATGTATAAAATCTTTAAATTAATTATAAATAAGCTTAGCTCAGCTTATTTTATAATTTTGAATATTTTGGCATTTTTCCCAATATATATATTGATAGTTTTTTTTGTCAAAGTGGTTTTCCCTTACAGGTATTTATAATCTTCTTTTGTCAAAATGTAATTGATTTTTTGAATATAGACTTTCTTTTGAAAAAAACATTTTATATCAAAAGTGTTTTTACTTCCGCTACAATTCTTTACTATAAATCTTATTTCTGAACTCTTTTAGGACTAGAAGTGCCTAGGGAGGTGTGTTATATGTTGCTTTTAGGGACTTGTTTTTAATTTAAGATGTGTGTTTTAAACACATATATTTTAAATATATATGTTAAATACATTTATATTTTTTTTGATAAAAAAAAAAACAAAATTTTATAACTATCAAATGAAGATGCAACAATGAACATGTGGATCATAAATAATTGCCTCTAAATTCCTATAAAAAGTCATAAATAGGGTTGTTTTTTTCTAGAGTTCTACGACAACTAAACAAACAACTTGAATTAATCTAAAACCTTGAGCCATTAGTATAACTCATACAAAAACTATTATTTCCCAACTCACTTGGTGGGTCATTACCCCATCATTAACAATATATAAAATCAATTTTTACAAGATTTTATCTTCTCCTAATTTTTTGCACTTACTTTCCAACATTCCCATGATATTATTAACAACCAAAGTCCTTTCCCATTTAAACTCTTCCATGATTTGTCAAACTTATTTGTTCTTCTTGCATGCAATGGGGAGTCGGAAAGTATGTTTAGGGATATGTCTTCTTGCCATAAGAGGGTTAAGTCATTTCTACCAACACAATCAACTACAAAAAATTTATCAAACACTAGCCTTATTCAGATCTGATTAATCTCAGTGGATGTGTGCTTTGTTTCTAAAAGGAAAACAATATGAAGCTTTTACTACTTAATTAATTTTGTTGGCTTTGCAATTGTCAAGATAACCCCATAACCTTGACAATCTCATGCTAGACTATTGGCATTAAGCATGGGACGTTCAATGATGTAGACAGGAGGGAGGAAGTAGCAAAGTACACAAAGGCCA